AGACTGATTTGCGAAAAAAACTAGTATATATGTACAATTTATTGTGAAAATAAATATCGTTGATTCAAGAACATGAGCTAACTAAAACCTAAACATGAAAGAGCTTAGCGGTGTTTCAATCACTTGAACTTGGCCAACTAATTTCCACGTGCTAACTTACTAACTGTACCGAATAATCGAATTTGTTTGACGTCACTTGACGACACGCGAGCAACGCTAAGCGACACGGAACATGCTGTTACTGGAATATTTATCTATACTTGTTGAATTTTATAAAAAAACTAAATAAATTTTAAAGAATTAAGTATTATATACATGAACATGTCGAACCAGCCACTATCGTAATATAGTATCGCAACGTTTACATAGTATATCACATTCCGTCTAAATTTACATCTGTAAATGTTTGAACTATTGAAAACGTCCTATTTTATTAGGAAATAAAAAGTTTTTTGCTGCTGCATGCGCCACTTAGTGAACTTCATATTACATTCTATACAAGAATAAATAAGGAAAACAAGTTATGAAGCCAAGCAACATACAAACCACCGTTGACGGTTACCAATACTAAGAAGTTTCAGTTTAATTACAAAATTTCCTCGCAAATGCTAGCGCTAAGGTATAAATACTCAAGTAAGGCTTTCCCGAGGGACTAACAGATGGGATTCTTCCAAGAAATAGGTGAATGTGTATTCGAATTGCTGAGCAATGGTATAAAAAATAGAACAAGGGCATAGTAAATCTGTGTTGCAAAACGTAGTGTCGAGTTAAAAAACAATGGAGAAAAGTATTGTTGGAACACACATACAACCAAGTAACTGAGATATTACTACTTCATAATGTCTCTGATTGATAATAGATTAAAATAACTAGCAATAATCTTCTTTACAATATTATGGAATCAAACTAACTTACACAGTCTCTCAACTATAGTAACTCAAAAAAAAGTCTTAGAATTTAAGGAGTATACTATCAAGAAATGTATTAGAATGCTTCTACTATGTACTACCAGAGATGCAAACTAAAATCACACCACATTGAAACGTCTGCAGCATCAGTATCGTGGCTTCACTGACGCGTCTGTGGTACTGTGGCTTAAACACAATGCTAACCAAAGCTTTGACTGTTTGATACTCCATCGAAACGTTCAATACATACTGACTCCAGCAAACATTCAGTAATGTCTTGTCTTAAACTATAAGTACATATGTTTCTTTATGAAAACATAATTCATAACACAGGTGAATGAAAAAAGATTATTTTAATTTACAAAAGATTTTTCAAAACTGTTTATTGACTTTAATATCTAAATCATCTTTCTAATTTGCATGAAAACAAATGCATTTGATTATGATAAATTAATTCTCAAAATTACATTATAAAAGATAAATATGATATTTACTAAATTTATAACCAGAGTTTCTCTAAATCAACATTATATTTAAACTTACTTAACTCTAAATAAGACATTTCTATGTAATTGAAGACTTCTACTCGGAACGAGCATAAATGCTTTGAAAAGGCTTTTATTGAATATTTCTATAAAGTGAGAACGCAGTGCCGGTGACAAAAAACACAAAAAAAACAATCGAAACAGGCATAACCAAATAACATGTTAAAGATTAACAATCTATGTATATAGAAAACTCAAGTATGTTTTTAAAATAACTCACGTTAGTAAGAAGAGTATGAAGAGGGTTCGGTTTAGTGATGGTGTGTGTACATAAGAATCAAAGTGACGTTACATTATCAGAAGTCAAAAGGAATAAGTTCTAAGGGTTCATAGAAGCGCGAGATGGTGTTGACGGCTTGTGAATTATGCAGTGGCTCCCTCCTAGCGCCCTTATGTTAATTTAATTTCACGACACGCTCTGCAATCTTGTTGTTACCCTTCGCTTATAAAAGTAATTAATATTTTAATATCTATAACAGGTAATACATTATACTACAAGCCGAGGTGTGTTCTTTACCAGATACGTTAAATCATATTTTTAAGTACTTACATATAGCATTACTTTGATTTAATTCACCGTTTTTATATTGAGACTGGTTTATCTTGATATTAATAAATGGAAAACCTAAAATATCTCGTTATATATGAATATGAGTTCCACAGCGGCAGCGGCGCGGAGAAAACATTTCCAGAGATAAACGTAAAAGGAAGCAAACCTTTTGTTTTGAAGATTTTAATGTCCGAAAATATTCCGACATTATTCATTTAATTTCACCAAAAAATACATATATTTCGGAAGGTAAGAAAAATTTCTGTAACTAAAAATTAAGTGAAACATACATATGCAGAGGCTATTTATGAATAGTTAAGTAATGTTGATTATTATTTTAATACTTTTCTCAATTCAATATTAGTCAAAAAATTGGCTTCAGTTTATTAACACTAGTAAGTTTTTGTCCCTGTCTTAAAAATCGATTCATATTTAGATATCTTTATTGTACAATAAGATTTTACGACTTAAAATAATTTTTAGTTCAAAATTATATACTCAGACAACATTCAGACAGCTGTTATGTTTATTTTCTATTTAATATGTTTTTTTTTTAATTTTTATTGATCCGTCTTGCCTATTGTTGTTAAGTTACTAATCATATACATACGAATTAGCACTTTTTAAGTTCCTTTTCGCCGTAAGAACAAAATATAATATATGTATATACAAGATTTCAGAATAATAAAACTTGACATTTAATAACTAAATTCAATTTAAATAATGTCAAGTTTGAATGATCAAATATTTAATGATAATTCGTATAAAGGTAACAGACAATTCTGGAGGACTTTTCTGTGTGCAAAGAAAAAGTTTATAAAGCAATCGAACGAAATCGTAGATAACACATTTACTTCAAATACTTGACGGAATTGAAGTTTTAGTTTTAGAGAAGTCTGGACGGAATAACGTATCTTTTTCTTTTTGAAACGTTGACGCAAGATGTTGAGATAAATTAAGTTAGTATGTGTATTTAAAAGTAAATTTTATATTATCCTAGACTGTTGGAAGAAACAGTCCGACTGTTACCACTCAAATTGTAGAGAATATTAAGAATTATAAGCACCTTAGATTATGTGAAAGGAAAGAGGAGAAATCAAAGCAAAGACGGGATAATTATATATAATATGCATGTGAAGGTATACAGAGGAGCACGAGAATAAACATACCGATCGTGATAAAGACAGAAGTTATATCTGGTTAAGATACCTGTGGTGTTTGTGTTGACTTATCATAACAAGGTTTTGAGGAGTCTGACGCTTCTCTCTATCTGGGTAACTGCATCAGACAACTGTTATGTCATATTTGTGGCTCCATAGACATACATAATAATTTGATCATAACGCTCGTCCTATCATAGATATCTCTAAGACAACATATAACAACTATATACGAGTTTTATTACACTTTCAATAATCTGATACTAGATATTTTTAGCTTGTTTCAAAAATAATTGTCTATTGTCTAAAAATGTATACAACAAAAAGATGTTAATTAAACAAAAATAGATGAATATGTTATCAAAAAAAGTAGTTCAAATTACATTCGTGTATTTAAATTATTGTTTCCTCAAAAATACAATGAGTCTCTGTTCTTTATAGACCAACTGAATAATAGTTGTATGAACTGCGCTTGAAATGTATCGTTGAATGTAAAGGTGACTACCTAAGTCACTGACAGAGTTATTGTGTCAGAGACTAGAATCCATTCCCTTTGTATGATAAAAAACTGATCTTAGAAAAAAAACTTCGTCGACCTTTTGGTAGTAAGTATTTACTTTAAAGTCGACAAAAATTTCTTCACAGTAAAGTTATTTCAATATAAGTCTTTATATACGTATGTCGACATTGATTACATTTAACATTATTTGTTGTTCAATCTTCTATATATACATATAAAAATGGATTGCTGTTCCTTAGTCTCGCTAAAACTCTAGAACAGCTGAACGGATTTATCTTATCTTAGTCTTGAAATGTTCGTGGGGGTTCAGGGAAGGTATAAAAGCTGAAAAAAAATTATTCATTACTGGGAAAACCATAAAAACAGCCCTTTTCTATTTCCCATACAAACGTTTTTTTTGACATTAGATTTGACAACAAACTAATATGTCAATCATTCTGTTCGATTGAAACAGGAGAAACCGATTATTAATGGCCTCTAAAACGGAATAGAGTTCGCCCGGTCAGCTATACATATATTACTAATGATGAAATTAACGCGGACGAAGTCGCGGGCAAAAACTAGTATGTTATAATTTACAAATCAAATTATTGGGAACCTGTTTTTAAAAGCATCTCCTTGACAAATCATTTTACGACATGAATTATTTTTTCTGTAACTCAGTACTGTCACGAGAGTGGGAAGCCGTACAATACACATCAGATAGTATAGTTTTCTTTGATTCAGTTATGCGTATAATATATTTTTAATATATACTGATATCTTATCCCTCTACTATTATCATACACAACTTATAAAATAATACTATTTTATACAAAACAAAGCTAGTATTAAATATTGTTAGGTCGTTGTAAATTATGTAATTAATTATTTTATGTAAATATAAGAAAAAGTTTAGAATTCTAAACAACACACAAAGTTGAAAATACGCCGAAGTTGTAAGTCAGAAAGCTTAGTCAACAAGTTCCACCCTACAACTCCGTGTAAGAATGTTAATGAGTACGGAAACTTTTAACTAATTTAAAACTAAACGTTTCTTTATATTTTGATAAGAAAATCACGACGGACGGTTTTATTCCAGTAGGACTTTTTTAATACCATGTGTACGTCGAAGAAATCCCGCAGAAGTTAAATTAATTACAAAATATCTCTATAATATCTTTAGTATTTATCAATCATGAATGTTTCCACTACATTAGAGACTTATGTAGGTACATAATTTCTTGACATTGTTGTTGTCGATAATATTGGATAATAGGAAATATAAACCGAATAATGAGAATATAATGCCTGGCCACTGTTCATTTTTGCTAAAAGGTGAGAGGGCGTCTGACGTCATTCCAAGACGCCACGGCGTCGCGGCGCCCGAATACAGAGTAGGGTTCGACGAACAGACGTGATACTACAACCATCGCCAATACTTTGTAACACACGCAAACACGCACACACAATATATGTAAGAGCAATGCACATAGGCATCTAGGTAATACTTTAAAATAATACAAATTAATACATCTCGGAAAATACTGGCACTTCAACAAAGAGATATCGTCTGGATATATTCATATAAAAAATAACAGGTTATTCATTATATGTATATGACGACTAAATTTACTTTCTGCAAAAAGCAAGTTGAGTAGTAATCTTTAATGAAATTTGTTATTTGACCTACGATCTCCTTTAAACTTGAAAATGATGCTGTAATAAGAGCACCTCTCTCTCTTAGCGAACCTGAGATTTGAGCTCAGTTTTAATCTCTTAATCTAGAAGCTTAATTCCATTTTAAACCTGCAGACTGTTAAAATTACATTATATTTTAAAAGTAACTTGTTATAAGTCATAGGTTCTCCTGACTTGTTTTATGTTTCCTTTCCTCGGCCGGGTCAGTGGGGCGGAGGAGGGAGGAAATCAATATGCATCCATGTAATAATAACCGTATTATAACAATATCATTAATTGATTAACAGATTAAACATCTCTAATATTAACTAGGATAGTGAAGCTTCAGATAAGATTATAGCCAATTAGATGCACACATACCTAAGCTGAACGTATTAGCCATAACGAAGGTCCTGAACCTCGGTTGAATTGCAAAGCGACCACATCCCCGCTAACAAGATTAAGCCGACGCAGGCACGCTTCGAATACACTTGAGAAATACGTTTTTAATTAAGGAACGTATTACCATCCCTGACAATTTGTTTTTTTTGTGTTAGCTATGAAATAGGAATAGATCTCGGGATTTGTGACTTACTGACGTGTTTGAAACGTATTCGTAAAATGTCAAATATATTGACACAGCATCACTTATAGGCAAAGATGCTGCGTTGAAGAATTCTATTAAAGACGCCGAACATTGAATTAATTTTTTAAGATACTGTATATACATATATATATACATATATATTATGTTATATGAATCGTTTTATTTCAAACATCAATACTGTAGTTTCGTTGAGTTTTTGATTAAATCTATAACACATTTTCCCTGATGAAGTTATTCCTTCTTCCTAACTTACTGACAATGACAAACGAGAATTTGAAAGTCGTCGACCATCGAGGAAAGTTTTGTATATTGAGAGAAGAAGCCTAAAAAAGGAAATGGTTTAGCAAAATATGAATTTAGTAATGACACAATGAAACGAAGTTGAGACGGAATAGAAAAAATATCTATTAGTAGCCCATCTTTACTCTACATATATATACGTACCTAATGGTTTAAGCTTTTGACGCATTGGACCATAATTATTGAAGGGATTTTAATAACAAATACATCGCCACATAAAGCTGTTAATTATAAACTGAAAATATGAAAAAGTAAATAAGAACCGATGGCAACAACTAATTTAATAAAACACAACTAAGCTATCTACCTATCAACAAGATACAAACAGTCATCTACATAGCTGATATTTAGTTTCTAGATATAAAACATTGCCTGGTGTTTTATATACATAGTTTGCAAAAAAAAAGCAATATCTTACTGAGTTTTAGGCAATCCAAGAAAATCTATTTACGGTTGAGGATGACACGTTCCATCAAACTGGTTTGGGATTACGACAACATATTTCGATATTGCGGCTCTTTTTACAAACTTTTTTCAGAGTTACGATCCAACTATTAATACACCCGTATATTATTTCCCCACAAGATTATCTTTTTTCTACAATGACAGATGTTCTCGATATTCTAGACGGATAATTCATTGAATGTACTATAAGAGGGGATCGAAAATAAATGTTGTAATGTATTTTAAATCCATATATTCAGTGAAAATAAATTGAGTGTTCAGCACAAGCTATTATCAATATAAATCCAACATATTGTATCAATAAACATATCAAAATAATTCAAAAAAAGGACGTCCAGGTTAATATTTATTATGTTTTATGCTTCTGTTTTATACATTATAAGTACATCAACGGTCGATCAGTGTATAAGGTCGTCCCCTCAGTGTATATCATCATATTTGCTGGGCCCAGTCAGTGTGTTGATGGATGGGGAGAGCTAAGAGGTGCCGCACTCGACTTGTTTACTCTCTAGAAAGCCGAGCCACGACGTTCTAGTGCAGGGTGTAGTATCATCCGCTTCGTGTGCTACCAGAGCACGGTGTTCATGTTTACTCGCTCGTGTCTCGTAATCACAAAATTTCATTAATATTAAATCCATAAAGAAAATCTTTTCAATTACATTTTGTCCATAATCACAGTAACAAGCGTTTGAAAAATATAATTGAACATATTAGTTCATTATCTTCTCGCTTCGTTCGAGTTGTACGAAAATACCTAAATTATGTTGGTGTCTTTGTATCGTAAAATAAATCATTTAGTGATATTGTAAAATGAGATTCGTAAAACTTCATGAAAAAAGAATCAAAAACATTTTGTTCTACTAATTATGATTTCAACCGAATTCACGAATTTATTAGAACACAAAGAAAAACTTCAAATCGATATTTCAATCAACACCCATGTTCTTGACCCCAAAAATATATTTTCCTTTCATTAGTAATATATTAAAGGTTTTTGTTTAACTTAAACCTTAATCTTATTACACAAACTGAATCATAACATTTGACCCAAAGGTGTCTCATCCGCAAAGACCTCATCTAAGTTGACGCGAGGGTATGATAGTGTTTTGTTTGGCCGACTCGGAACAAGTTTAGTTGGCGATATGGGTTGTCAAAGTTGATTAACGATATATTCTCATGTTACGATCATCTTCAGCGCTTCAACATATATTGCATATTATACAGTGGATTCTTTTTGCGAACTCTAAAAACCTTTATTAGTAACTTTTAGAACCAGATAAAAGTCCGGTTAATTTGGTCCTAGTATTTGTATCGGTTTGTACACAATAGTAGTTAATCATCTAAAGGCGAGGTGCTCCCCAGATCTCCACAGAGCGTCGACCTTCCGGGCGCTGTAATTAAAAAACTTCCAGTATTATTTCCATCAGGAAGTCTGTTCCTCTCTATTTCCTGTCCGCTTCGTGTTTGTTCTTACGTATCTAACTTTGTTGGCGGACTGCTCTTAAGCTGGAAGTCGAGTCTATTGTGACTCTTATAAATATATAAAGTAATAAAACTTTTACTTACAAACGACTTGCTTCATTATAATTAAAGATAGTGATTTAAATATTGTATTATGTGTTATAAAAATAATAAATTCATTTTGTAAGATGAAGTTAAATATAGACCGAATGAGTTCGTTTTAAGCGACGTCAGGTTCGTTTAATTCCTATTCGTGTGAAATTATTATTTGTCGTTGTTTACTTGAGTGATGCAAGTCACGGATAAGACTTTAGAAACGATGTACTATAGAATGTTATTCATCGGTTTAAAGAAAATATTTTTGATAGAAAACATCAAAAGGTTCATCAAAATACGTAATGAAATAGATTAATAGGTAAAATTTAATCTGTGAGTAACAGGAGCGGCGACCGTAGATCGGGTTTACGAGTTATATAGAGATTACAGTAAACGAACAGGGTACAGATAAACTTCTTTGAAAATAAAGATCACGTTTCTAGTTTAAAAAGTGTTTATCGAAGTAATTACGATTTAAAATCCTTTTAATTACTATTAGAATTAAAACATACCATAATTAATAATACTATTTAGAAATAAATATCATAAAAGACTATTAATTTGTCTGCAAAAAAGACAATCTGCATACTGCAATTTTGGCGTGATCTATGTATTAAAAAAACAGTTACATTAAAATTTTGTAATTATAACGGAAACCAGATTACATTTTTTGAATTGAACAATATCTGTATTAAAGATCGTTGATCAACATAAAACACATGACACTCACGAAAATTATAAAATGATTGTGAGCAATAACAGTATAATACGAAATGCTTCCGCGGCAGTATCAGGCGACTTCTTAGAATCGTAAATCCGTGGATGAGCGGCACATTAAACGATGAGTGGAGCGCGTTATGATCCGTGAACAGGTTGTAAAAATTGAGATTTTTATCTGTAACGGTGTATGAAAGTCGAGAGCCATCGAGGGCCATCTCTGGAAGGACACTCCTCCATCACCGGCTGTACTCGGGAGAGAGTGATATTATTAAAATACGTATTTAGCACTTCATGGAAAAAGTTTAACGGTAAAAATTGTTAAAAGCTATAAATTTTCGAATAGCGTTTATCAAAAATCCGATGGATACATTCCTTCTATATTAATATATACTAAAAATATAATGAAGAAAACCTTGAGATATTAATATTTCCTATAAGAAATTTCATTATATCTTTTAGTATTACCAAACCTCACAACCAACCATTACACACAAGCTGAGCGAATAATAACTATAAAGAGGTTATTTAACAGATCGATGTATTCTGACCCTTATCTTACACTAAATCGAATATTCCAGAGAGCTGGCGAACCACAATTCTTTTTAGAGACGAAAATGTCTACACAGGTGTAAAATTGTGCACAAACTACGAACCGAAAGATAAAAAGGATAAGGAGCATTTTTTGCATGATGTGCGTAAATCAATACATAAATAGTTATCGGGAGAGTGTTCTAACATATTATTTATTTTGTATTGAAAAATATTAATATATTATGACATTTGAATAACAATAAATGTTAGTGTTCAAATTTATTTTTTACTTTAATATCTCAATAATAGCTCGAACTCCTTTCCTATATACATATTTAACCAGTTATCTGTCACATCAACGGGAATTCATCTTAATCAATAAACCCCCTAATACTATATTTAGCGTAATATAAATAATTTCGGTAGACTGAGCCCACGTCTGGTGTCTTATTCACGTGTTAGGTTACATCAGAAACATGTATTTTATTAAAACAGAAAACTAATGATATTAAGTTATGTCGTATTACAAACAGTTTTAACATACAAACACACATTTTCTTC